CACATCAATCTGGACGCAAGATTGGCCTTGGCCACACATCGTCCTATGCGAACTGTACTGAACTGAACTTAATTTGATCTGTAGGTCACAGCGTGACCATGGGCGTTGTTCATTTATTGACACCGTCGTTCGACGAAGTGTTCGTTGCGCTGTGCGCTTCGGCGTGATGACTCGTAAGTTGATCGTTTTGCAGACTATTTATTATGTTTTCAAGGTGGGAATCAGCGAGAGTTAGCCCGACAAAAGCAAGCTAAGAAACAGGCTGCTTTGCAGAAGTCAACGGGGGCGAGTGAGAAGGATGGAAACAAGGGAATGAAACTCGAGGAAAGGCGTTTGCGGTTAGTTTTTGTTTATTTTATCATCTTTGCTTCAGAGATGCCCAGGCGCTGAAGGCGAAACAAGAAGCAAAAGCTCAAGCAGCCCAGAAGGCATCTTAAAAACTAAGTTTGCTGGATGCCAGTGTAAATCGTTTGCCAATAATATGAACAGCTTTTTTCAAATAAATCTTTGTGTTCTTCAAAACACTCCTTTCAATTGTTTGTTTTGTATTTTCGCTCGCTTTTTGGGACCGGTGATTCGCGTCGGAGATCCAACCCTCGAAGTTCCCGATNCGATGACCTACTACCGGCTTTAATAGTTTACCCAAACTGTATCAAGGCATGGAACACAACGAAGTGAAATCCTTCAGTTCATAGAACTAAGTGATGGCCCGAAATCAAGAGGTGAAGTTTATTTTCCTCGTCTACTTAAATCGAGGTGTACGCCATATGTACGTTGTTCTGAATTCTTCCATTCATTGACAGGCAATGCCACTTGTACATTTCCAGATCATGTCAAGAGAAAGATGCAAAAAGTATTAAGACGCGGTGAGTAGACAGTAGAAGACTTCCGCTTTGCTATGTTTTGTTGGCAGGAACGGCTAAGAATTGAACGATAACTCAAGTTCACGAGACATCACGATTGGGTTAAACGACGGTGGGGTCAATTTGTGATGATGGAAGCTGAGTATGAGTAGTCTGCATCCATGGGGAATTCCATGCTCAAGCGTACAAGAAGGCTGAATACCAGTTTGGTTGAACCTATGCTGAACTCGTTTTCGTATGTATATACATTATGCATTTCACCCCAACCTTAATGTGGACACGGTGAAACGATGTAAGTTCGTTGAGAAACAAGTCACTTGCAACAGTTTGGTTCATTTGGGAGGTATCTCATATTCAAAACTCTCCTGATGATTTGTTCAGTACCTTGAGGGCCGGGTGCTGTTGCTAAAACAATCAACCTGGTTGAAGCTTTTGGACTGTTCGCTTTCATCAGAGATAACCCCAAAGGTAATGCGGGTTTTGTCGCCTAATAAGGAACTAACAAAATATAGAGTATGCCCGTGGGATCTAAAGATTTTATACTACTAACGTTTTTTCTGTGGTAAATAGCAGATGTAGTGAATACCATAGTAAACTTAACCCGTTACTCGGTGGTGAAGCCCATCATATCATTATCATCATCGACGAACTGTCTTTCCCTTTTAACCTGTATTCGCTTGCCCACTGCCGGGCAGTTGCTTTGTTATTTCTTCCATCGTTACTATTTTTGTTTCTCTTCCGAATTCGCTTCAGCGCTTCCCCTTCCATTGACTTTTTCTCGTCCATCTCGTTCTCAGGCGGGCAGTTACCCTTATCAGGTTTCTATCCCCCAGATCTCGAACTTCTATCTTTCAATCATCTTTTTTCCCGAGGACTACGAAATTGTGGAACACTTCACATTCCCGTGTTAACAAGCTCTTGTAACATGGCTCTTTCCAAAAGCAGAATTAAGAAATTGATTTTCACTTGAATTCCTCCACATACCTCGCCCTTACAGTATATCATTTATTATGGAGTTTACCTCTTGTTGTAAATCACTTCGTGTGTAATTTATAAAAATACAAGCCGCTCGCATCTCCAATAGACAACTTTCGGTCATGCAAACCCCAAAATACCGAGCAAGCTGTAATCCAACGGTTGCTTTGCGGCCAAGACGACGACGAAACACAAACTAGGCTGGGTGTGTGAAATGCAGATACTGGGAAGTTAAGGCCAAACGCGCACGTGCGTAACTCAGTTAGAGCGCGGTTTGCTTACTCACTTGGATCACGTCTAATATCTGTTAAGTGTGAGCGTGTCTCGTAGTCTAGTTTACTGGACCCGTTAATCACAGAGCTTATGGCGTACCAAAGCTTCGGCAGACAAGTCTTCCATTTCGACGTGATGAGTCTTGTACCAATGACTGGAATTAGTATCCGTTGCCATGGTCTCATATACAACTTAATATTTAATGACCGAAATTGCGAATCAGCAAATTGTTCCGCGTCAATGAGAGCCCACTTTTGTGGGAAAGACCAAACCATGTACCCACTCTAACGCGAATGCATGTTTCCGCAAACTATAAAAGCTTTTACACGTTTCAGGGCAAAATCAGAGAATGAAAATTATTATTGTAAACTCGGAGAACTATCATTCGGTCCTCTTCAATGAACCATAACAATTGTTTCCTTAAGCTTTCGTTGTGTTCCTAGCGGAGAG